TAGGGAGAGTAGAATAAAGGAAAGGCAGAATAGAAAGTCAACCTGAGGCCAAAGAGTAACTTTAATTCTTAGGAAAAAGTCATAAAGACTTTCCCCCCTCTACTATGGAATCTGACTTTCCCTTCATTTTAAGTTTTTTGTCATGAGATTCTTTTTCTTTTTCTTTTTTGTGTGTGTGGGGAAGATCAGCCCTGAGCTAACATCCATGCTAATCCTCCTCTTTTTGCTGAGGAAGACCAGCTCTGAGCTAACATCTATTGCCAATCTTCCTCCTTTTATTCCCCAAAGCCCCAGTAGATAGCTGTATGTCATAGTTGCACATCCTTCTAGTTGCTGTATGTGGGATGTGGCCTCAGCATGGCGGGAGAAGCGGTGCGTCGGTGTGCGCCCAGGATCCGAACCCCGGCCGCCAGTAGCAGAGCGCGCGCACTTAACTGCTAAGCCACGGGGCCGGCCCGAGATTCTTTTTCTTAACAAAAAGAAACGAACCTGGTATGTCTAGCAGTGTTGGACTCACTCACCAGGGAATATCCAGGTGAAGTCCCTCTGACTAGGGTGGAGAAGAGGCCTCGTCAGAAAGCCTGGCACTTCCTCTCCTCTGAACAAATGAGGGTTTTTTGAACACGGGGAAATCCATCTATCTGTCCCAGAGAGGCAAGTGTGGACCTAGTGTGGGAACGTTCAGGGAGTGTATGTGATTATTCCAGGACCAGATGCAAGAAAACAAGCTATTTCAAGACCAGCAACCCAGAGTGAGAAAGGGAAGGAGAATGGAACATAAATCATAGAGAGTCATGTGTGTATGTGTGTCACACATAAAAATATGGTTGCTTTTATTGATAAAGGGGGGTACAGGTGGGAATTGTGACACACCATATGCTTGAGGGAAATGGTTTAATACAAGCATGCAATCAAATTGCTATTAGAAGTAGATATTAGGTTGCTATTTTTATGTATGATTGTTATTTCTGTACAAGTAAAACTATATTATGAATATAAGTAATGTGTGTAAATTGCACGGGGGGCCTATTTGACCGAGTTTATGGAACTGGAATGGTAAAATATCAGTGTGCAAATTACCTGAGCGGTTGCATGATACCAAAGAGGAATGAGCAACGGGGTTTCCGAAAATTAACCATTCAAGGCACACTAAAGTACCAGGCCTATACCTTACCAGAGGACTAAATGAGTGCTCGCTTCGGCAGCACATATACTAAAACAGGACTAAATGAATTTGGTGGGAAATGCATGCCCCTTAGTGGATAGCGTGGGATATTCTTAGAGTGGGGAACAACTGCTTACCCTCAAATTGTTACTAATAGTAGAGCTCTTTTCTCACCTTCATGTCTTTCAGCAGACATCCTCTCGTGGGGAATATCATTCTTACAAAAATTCTCATTTTCAACTTGCTTTCTTGGATAGAGATGTGGTTAAGTTCCCTGATCCTCAATACATCTGCCCCACACCCCAAAGTTCTCCCTTGTTCTGGGCCAGAGTGTATCTGTGGGCTTTTTTTTTTTTTTTTTTGATGAGGAAGATCAGCCCTGAGCTAACATCCATGCCAATCCTTTTTTTTTTTTTACTGAGGAAGACCGGCCCTGAGCTAACATCTATTACCACTCCTCCTCCCTTTTTTCCTGTTTTTCTCCCCAAAGCCCCAGTAGATAGCCGTATGTCATAGCTACACATCCTTCTTAGTTGCTGTACATGGGACGCCACCCCAGCATGGCTGGACAAGCAGTGCGTTGGTGTGCGCCAGGACCCGAACCCTGGCCGCCAGTAGCGGAGCGCGCGCACTCAACCGCTAAGCGACAAGGCCGGCCCCAAGTGGGCTGCTTTTATAGAACCTCTCACTGCCTTTATTAGGCCCCAGAGTGACCATGACTAAAAGGCTGTTGTATAAGCTTGGGAATGTGGGAGATTTAATAGCATTCTGTTTATCTGGCATCAGTCAGGAGACTAGCTTTTTCTTTGCATTTTTGGGGAATGAGGATGGGACCAATCAGGAAGCGAGGATATTATCTGTCTTGGAGAAAAGGCTGAAAAGTGGATAAAAAGCCCGTGAGGATCATAATATGCTATTTCATTTCTGGGACAGAAAGGCAAACTATTGTAGGAAGTTTTGAGTAGATATAAGAATTTTCTAGTTAGAAAATAATGAGTTTGAGGATGTCATATCTTTGGAACTCTTACTTTATGATTGACAATAAAGTTAAAACGTGAGGGCTCAGTATGCATGTGCCAGGTAGGGTGACCAATCATCACATTTGCCTGGGATAGAGGGGTTCCTGAGATATGAACTAGCAGAGCTAAAAGTGGGACAATCCCAAGTACACTGGAATGGCGGATCACCTTAGTGCCAGATTCTGTGCTATATACTTCACAAATATTCTCCTTTAATACTCCCAACAATCCATGATATAGAAAATATTTTATATATATATAAAAGATGTAGCTAATAAGTAACAGAGCTGGGACTTGAACCCAGATCTATCTGCAGAGCCAGAGCAGTTAATCATTAAGCTATACTGGCTCTCTAAAAGGAAGGTGAAAGAGAACCTTTTGATATGAGGTTATTTTGACCCAAGATGGGGAGAGGCTTGGAATGGTTTGTCATAAAATCTTTCTCTTGGTAGGTTCATCCTGACAAAAATCGTCATCCCAGGGCTGAGGAGGCCTTCAAGGTTTTGCGGGCAGCTTGGGACATTGTCAGTAACCCTGAAAGGCGGAAGGAATATGAAATGTAAGTTGGAGATGTGAAATTATCAGGTGGGGTAAATGAATAATCTTCAATAGCAGAGGTTCCTGGACTTGTGGGTGGAGGCCTTCTGAAGTGGAGAGAGCTGAGCTTGCTTGTCTTTCTAGCTGACCAGGCACCTCAAGAGGCCAAAAGATCTGTCTCCCTTTGTCCCTCTCTCAATACCCTCTGACTTACAAAGCCTTTCTTCTCTTAGGAAACGAATGGCAGAGAATGAGCTGAGCCGGTCAGTGAATGAGTTTCTGTCGAAGCTGCAGGATGACCTCAAAGAGGCAATGAATACTATGATGTGCAGCCGATGCCAGGGAAAGCATAGGTATGAAATATGACAGGAATGGGGTAGCCACAGCTTAGGGATCAGGTAGCCAAAGACTTTCCTTGTGAGTATTATTGGTAGTTGTGGGATACAGATGGTGAATAAAAAGACCCTGAGGTTTCTACTTTTGCTATATTGTCAAGAGATTAGGGATTTGAATTAGTAGTAAGAAAAAAAAATTTTAGCTTTAAGATGGAAGGTTGAGGGCAGGGTGTACGTAGGCATATGTAACAACTCAGTGGAGATAATTTTAGATGTTTCATCCATGTTTGTCAGTAATGATGAGACTACAGCAATGCCCTAGGCTTCACAAATTATTAAGGAATTGTCCTTTTTTTGGGTTGCAGGAGGTTTGAAATGGACCGGGAACCTAAGAGTGCCAGATACTGTGCTGAGTGTAATAGGCTGCATCCTGCTGAGGAAGGAGACTTTTGGGCAGAGTCAAGCATGTTGGGCCTCAAGATCACCTACTTTGCGCTGATGGATGGAAAAGTGTATGACATCACAGGTACGCATCTGTCCTCTAGACATATGGGCTCATAAATGCTCAAAACTGTGATGTTTTGGCTAATTATTTCTCATGCTTGCAGAGTGGGCTGGATGCCAGCGTGTGGGAATCTCCCCAGATACTCACAGAGTCCCCTATCACATCTCATTTGGTTCTCGGATTCCAGGCACCAGTGGGCGGCAGAGGTAGGTGGTATTTCTTTCAATAATCTATCTACTATTCTAGTTCTGAATATGGTTTCAGATAACATGCTGTTTAGGACACCTAGATGTCTCACCCTTTAAGAAGTTTGGCAACTAACCCAGTAGATCTTTAACTTAGGTATAAATAGATAACATAGGAAACCATATGACTCTTAATATCTCGTCTCATTATTCTTTCTGTTTTCCTCTCAGAGCCACCCCAGATGCCCCTCCTGCTGACCTTCAGGATTTCTTGAGCCGGATCTTTCAAGTACCCCCAGGCCAGATGTCTAACGGAAACTTCTTTGCAGCTCCTCAGCCTGGCCCTGGGGCCACTGCAGCCTCCAAGCCCAACAGCACAGTACCCAAGGGAGAAGCCAAACCGAAGCGGCGGAAGAAAGTGAGGAGGCCCTTCCAACGTTGACACCCCGTCTCTTCTTTCCTCAGATCAATGTCAGGGAGTCAAAAGGGCTGTGTACAGCACAGGATGGAGTTTGATTTGTTTATTTTTAAATATTTAAAAAAGGGAAAATTTTAAGCTCAAATTGTTCATTCAGTACTTGTAGGAAGCCCTGGAACCACTCTCCCTCCTCCACCAGCACCCAGGAACTGAATCTTGTCTTCTGACAATACCAAAGAAATAGGGGGTGGCTAGAGCAAAGAACCGAGGGCCTGGGCCTGGGCTGGACAGTATTCCCCATAGTGGTGTGGGAACTGGGTATTTCCCTAGGGTCTGTATGCCTTTGTCTTGTCTTTTGCTTCCAGAGCAGATGACTTTTTCCCCTTTTTAAACTATCTTAGTTCTTGACCCATTTCAGAAGGGAGCCCCCTCCTTTACTCCAGTATACTAGATAAAAGACAGAACAAGAAAGCATGTAGCCCTAATTATAGGAGATATTTAGAGTTCAGAGAGTGGGAACTCTGAATTTTTCCTCTGACTTGCACCATTGTGGGTCATCACCCAACTTCATGCTTGTTGCTGCAGGGATGGCCAAAACTAGTAATTTTTAAAAAGCGACTCATGCCCTTTGCCCTTGGGTGAGGGGGAAGGATAAAGGGGCTCCCAGCGGCACCCTTATGATCCAAGGGTTTGTATTTTTTTAAGTTTGTTCATATTTGTATGTACATATCTATTTAAAGCCAGGGGATTATCTTTCTATAAATATATAACTGGCAACCTGTATCTTCCCTCTCTTCTTTGCCCATATAGCTGGAGCCCTTTTTCTCATTTGAGAATCCTTTCCCTACTAAGTGTTAGCTGCGCGTGAAGGGCACCTCCTACTGGACCAAGGGAGAGGGGATAAAAAAAATACCTTAAAGAAGTTTTGTACAGTAAATCACTGTTCCATCTTTCTTCCCCAGCCTTATGAGGACATCTTCCTACCCTTCCTGCTGACCAAACTGTAGCCATATCTGAAAAAAAATGATCTTTATTATAAGGAACATACATAGCAGAACAGAGCTAGAAGATAGTGGGGGTGGAAGCTATGGAAAAACTTAATTACCAAACAAAGCTGCCCAAACATGGCTTCCTGCTGTGGATGAGAATGATTTGGTCCTTACCTCACCTGCCTTTCCTGATTCAAAGAAACCTGTTCCTAGCAGGGCTTGGCCCAGGGAGCTGCATTTTCCAATCTATTCTCTTCTTGGGAGTTTGGGAAAGGTTGTATAGTTCTGAGGCTTTCAAGACATAGAAGACAGTATGGAGAAGGGAAGGATGTCGCAGCCCTTTGTTCCAACGTCGTCCCCAGCCCCATCCCTCAGTATTTGTTGATGCCAAAGAGACGAACCCCATGGAACTGGGGCAACTTAGGCAGCAGTACGCTGAGCAATGAGGCTGTGTTGATGAGGAAGTGAACAGCATCATGCGTGGTGTAGAAGCTGGCCAGGAGGTAGCTGGGGAGAGAAGAAATAGGTTGAGTGAAGTTGGCCTCCCCTATCCATATTCATGCCTTTCCAGTGACTTTCTCTTCTATTTTAAATGAAATAGTCCTAGGATGTCTGAAATAGTCCAGCTCTACTAACAGTATTTACTTTGGGGTTGGGGAGATAATCAGATAGCACCTTTAACTGGAGATTTATAAGTTAGTTTGTGTGTGTTTTGTTAATGACATGTGGCAAATGACAGCTGAAGCAGTTTTAGCCTATATGACTGTTAGAGTCCTCTTTGCTTCCACTCCCCACTGTTAGTTTTTACAGATTTACATCAGTTCTACCTTTATTTATTCACTTCTTTTGGAAGTGTAAAATTATTTGGTTTTACTTGGTATTTTATCTTTTCTCAGTCCCCTACCACTAAGGAGGCAGCAAGGGATGCTTGAGTACTGTATTCTACTTTTTACTACTCTCTCTAGATTTAGACCTAGTATACCATAATATCTTCAAAGGGTCTGAGTGAGTAGTCTGCTTTTCTAAAGCTTCCCTGTGGGCCTTTGTACCTGGCTCTTGGAGCATCTCCCATATCTCCCCCTGGACTCACAGTACAACAGGAGAGATGCTGAGGAATTTGCGGGAAGAGGTAAATTGGAGCCCGTAGTCCATCTGTTCCCAGTATGTCAGTAGCCGAGCCTTTCCTTGGTCAGGAGTTTCAAAGGGTGTCCCTTTCACAGTATGTAGGAAGATATACATAGCCTGGGAGGAGGGAAGGGGGCAGTGTGAGGGGGCAGAAAGTAGTCCTTCAGCCAAAGAATTATGCTAAGATCCCAAAAGGAAGACATAAATCCCCAAATAATTGATGATTTTATTGTTTTTGGTTTGGAAAGGCCTGGGGTGGGTAAAAGGGCATGGTTTAGTGCTCACCAAGTTATGGATGACGTTGGTCAGGGTCCAGACAACAGGAATGCTGAAGAAAGGGATGCTGAGTAGAACCACATGCAGCAGTCCTACCAAGATGATGTAGGCCAGCCAGATGCCCCGGCTATTCATCACTCGAGTGTTGGGGTTTACTTCGCTGTGTGCCACCCCCACATTCATCCTACCACAGTAGGGGATCAGACAGGAGTCTAACTCAATTTCCTCTCAACCCCTCTTTGAGTTTGTTCCCGAAGTTGTCTTCTGAATAGCCAAAATCCCTTGAACTCTATTAGAATGAAAGAACTTCCCCATCATGCACAAAGGAAAAACTGAAGACTTGGGGGAAAAAACTTAAAAGGCACGAAGAGTCCTCTCTGCATTTTAGAGACATATAATGGTAATTTTTACTCTGATCCTTACACTTCAACTGTAACTTGAAGGAGTAAGCCTAAGCTTGGGGCACCTGCTTCAAGGAGCAAGGGAAACATTAGTATCTCACTTTACTTTCCTGAAGACGTTAATAAGAAATCATAAGAGGTTACATACACCCAGAATTCCAGAAGAGGGTCATGGGAAACAATGAACCATTACGGAGGAGAAAGAGGGGTAAAGCTACTTCTAATCCCCACCTTTTCCTCAGGGGCTTGCCCGTTCTGTCAGCCCCTTGGCACGTAAGCAGCCAGCACCCCAATTCCTTCTCTCAAGCCTGGGGCGCTGCAAGAATTTGACCAAGGCTTTTGGATAGGATGAGACCTAAGCTCAGCGTCTCGAGAGATGGAGCCCTAGCCCCGACTCCAGGGGCGGCTCTGGTCGTCTGAACTTGGCCCGTTGATGATGCCTAGTAAGAAGCAGCTCTTATCCGCCCCTCTCTACCTAAAATTCCCTGAATCCTAGTATTGAACCCGCCCTGTGCTCCTCCCAGCTTCCCTCTCTCGTTCGTTGGCTCCCCTCCGGGCTCTCTTCAGCGCTCTTCTCTCGGTATTTAACTCGCCGCCGCTCCACTCACCGCCCCCTCCCCTTTTGCCTCCCATCGTTTTTCTCGGCACCCCGTTCCAGTCTCCCGGCAGCCCCTACCTGCCTGCTTCAGAAGCCCGTTCAGCCTGGGGCGCAGGGCTCGCTTCCACACCTGCGATCTCCAGGAAGCAGCCGCCCTCGCCCATCTGCACTCTCCCGATTGGTGGAGCAGAATCAGCGCTGCTGCCACCCATTGGCTGGTGGTCTGCATTGGAGACGCACAATTGGTCGCCACTTAAGTCGTTCAGAAAGTGCAGAAGCCGCCCTCCTCCCTGTCCCACCTTCAGAGACAGGAGGGGAGAGCTGCTTAGAGGAGTGAGAGCGACGCCAGCTGTTGACTAACGGGGAGAGTTGATGGTCCGAGGTGGGAGTAAGAGTGGCAGCGATTGGTCGGCCGTGGCTGGCTGCGCCCAGGCGGGAGCTCCGGGAGGCGGAGGCAGCGGGTGGGGGCCTGGCGGAGTGGAGGGGTAACAAGATGGCGACGGAGACGGTGGAGCTGCACAAGCTAAAGGTAGCAGGAACGGGGAAGGGCTGAGCTGGGCTCTCTGGGGACTGAATTCTGCTGGTGGCTTGCGCCTTTTCCTACATGTTCTCTTTACGGGCTTTTCCACTTCGTTTTCCGGCTCCCCTCGTAGTTCTTTTCTTTTGTGCCTCCCATCTTTCCCATACGCCTTGCCTAATTTCCCATTTCTTCTCACGGCTGTCTCGCGTTATTCCGGCTCCCTTCCTCATCGTTGTGTCGTCCGTTTCCTTTCCCCACCGGCTGGTGTAAGCGCCTTCAACCTGTTATCCTCCCTCCTCGTTTCTCCTCGAAGCTGCATTACGTCAGTGGTCCGCTCCTCTTCGCCCCACGCCGGACCTAGCACCCCTTTTTCTTCCCTGGCTTGATGCTCTCCTGTCTGTCGTCCGAAGCTGAGATTCCCGTTAGCAGGTGGTGGCACCTTTGTGTTTTCCGTCTGTCTAGGTCTCAAACGTGATCCAGAAAATGCTTCTACTCCTTTTTTTAGGTGGGGTTACGCCCCCGGGGCGAACTTTGAAACCTGAGGAGAGGCCTCCGAAGATAGGCCTCCGCGTGGAAGCCTGGGTTTCGGAGACCTTAGAGTTAGTGAAGGCACGGATCCCGCAGACGGAAAAGTTTTCGCGTTCTCTCACACGGTTCTCCTCCCGCCAGCCTCCCCCCGCCCCCGCCCCCGCATCCCCTACCCGAGGGACAACTCGCTCAGAGCTGGGATATTTTGGAAAAGCACTTCCGAGGTTAGGGTTATCTTTGTCCCGTTTCATATCGGGGATGGACCTTGCCTCTGTTGGTGTCTCCGCTGGGTGCCACTCTCCACCACAGAAGCTGTTTTAAGTTGTGTCTTTTGGGAATCTTGGTAGTTTTCTCACATTTAAATGATTATTTTCCTGGAAGAAAAGAGTAGTTTCTTTTAGGGTGAATTGAGAATATCTTGATTAGTTGTCCATTTGTGGTTTCACAAGTAGTTTTCCCATCAGGTGTTTTGGTCACATCGTTCTGGGAACCTTGGATAAACCAGGCTGATTTAGCGGAATCCGAAAACTGATCTTTTAAAAAAAAAGTGTGAGAGTAAGGATAGGGAGAGCTTCTTTTAGTCACTTATTGGTTGACACCAATTAGCCTTTCTGTGAAAGCTAATAGATTTCTTATGCTTGGATTCTAAAGTATACTAGTGGGTTTTTGTGTTATCCTGGAGTTACTGTCAATTTAGCGGTACTGAAATGTGTAGATTATATCGGTAGTCTCGTAATATCACGATAAGTAAAAAAAATTGAGCAGTCACCTCCATTATAAGTATAGTACTTACTTATATAAATTATGTACTGCCATACTGTTATGTATGTTATGAAAGATGTACAGAAAAGGAATTTTTGAATGAATGAGATAAAAAGGAAATATGAATAGAAGATCTAATGTTTTCTTCCAATTAGTCCCATTTTTGAAGCTCCTGAAGTTAAGTCATCAGCCTTGTGACTTGCGTTTATGGATTTTTGTATGGGTTTATGGAGTTCCTTCTTCCATGAAACCTGTATTTGTCAGGTCTATATTAAATTTGATTTTGGTTGGATAATGTCCTTTGACCTGATTTCAGGTATTATAGACTGAAAGAGCATGAGGCACTCCTGACAGCCTGAAAAGGATTCACTCTTTTAATCACATTTGCTTGTCTTTGCTTTTTCTCTAGAACACTTCTTAACCTTTTGGAGGTCACAGATATCTTTGAAACTCTGATGAAAGATATGGACCCTCTGCCCAGAAAAAAGCATGTACACATACTTTGCATGCGATTTGAGGGGCTTCATAAAACTACCTTGTAGCCCTGAGGAGTCCATGGACCTCCGGTTAAGAACCCATGCCTTTAATTCTAACTTCCAGGACAGTTAATGTTTGGTTCCACTGTTGATCTTGATGGAGTGATCCTGACTTTTGGGTTGACTTAGGGTTTTATTTCTTTTTTAAAAAGTCTTTCCATTTTTACTAGGAGAATTTGGGGCTTTAGTAGGGTTCTCAGAGGAAAGGAACAAGCTTTGAAGTAGGAAGGAAAAATATTTTCTATCTGAATTGATATGTAAGTTCACGTCAACTGCAAATTTCTGATGATTCTGTAGAAATGCAGTCGTTCTAACACAGTTGGAAAGAGACTGAATTGTGGGTGAAAATTCCTTGAACTGTAATAGTACCAGATCTCCAGTCAATGGTGAGCAAAGGGGCTACTGCAGGGGCTGGCCCCATGGTGTAGTGGTTAAGATCACCTGCTTTGGCGGCCTGGGCATGGACCTGCACAACACCACTCATCAAGCCATGCTGTGGCAGCCTCCCATGTACAAAATAGAGGAGGATTGGCACAGATGTTAGCTCAGGGACAATCTTCCTCAAGCAGAAAGAGGAAGATTGGCAATGGATGTTAGCTCAGGGCCAATCTCCCTCACCAAAAAAAAAAAGAAGAAAAGGACTACTGCAAGGAGAGAACGACAAGGTCAAAGTGTCAGAACTAGTGTCAGAGTGTTTAGAACAGTGAGACATTTGTAATATTGAAGCGTAATGCGTATATGTTACTGGTTGAAGATTGGAAAGGAAAGTCGGTGAACTGTGTGACTATAAAGGTAGATTGGAGTGATATTGAAAAGGGCCCTTTAAGTTGTGTAAGGTGTTTAGTGTTTGTCATGTAGGCAGAAGATGGGGAGCCTTTGGAAATTTGAAAGGAGGAGCTGATATGATCAGTTTTGTGTTCTTTTGGCAGTACCGAGAATGGGGTCTGGAGAGGGAGAGATTTCACCGGTTAGATTTTTATTGTAGTACTCACTCCCCTGCTTAAAACCTTTTAATTATATCCTGCCAATCTCTCCAGCTTATTTTCTCACACTCCAACCACAGTGGCTTTATTTTATTTCATTCCTTAGAATAGCTCTGTTCGTTAATTGCTAACACTTACATAGCATTAACTATATGGCAAACACTGGTCAAAGCTATTTACATAATTAACTGATTTGATTCTCACAATAACCCTATAAGATAAACGCCTGTTATCCTCATTTCAAAATTAGAAAAACAGAAGCTCAGAGAGATTAATTAACTTGCCCTAGGTCGCACAGCTAGTAAGTGGTGGCTCAGATCCGGGCAATCTGTCTCCAAAATTTATGTTCTTAGTCACTGTGTACTACTGCCTCTCCTTACCTCAGAACCTAGAACTTTTAACCCATACTTTTGGCTGCAGTGCTCGTGTCACCCCCGTCCGCCATACTTTTGTCAACTTAACTACTGGTTGCCTTTCGGATATCATTTACCCAAGAAACCCTTAGGTAGGAAAGGTTCTCCCTGTCTATGCACATGGTGAGACCACTTTTCTAGGAACCTGTACTTTTTTTTTTTTCAGTTAAACATTATGTGTATGATCATTGATTGCCTTGTTTCTCTACTAGAGTATAAGCTTCATGTGGGCAGAAACTCTTTTTGTTTTGCTTATGATTATTTCCCTGTATCTAAGATAATGCTTGACACGCAGTGAGTACTCAATAATTATTTGTCAAGTGAAACTGGACAGCAGTTTTTTTTTATTTTTTCTTACACTTAGTAAGACCTGAAATAAGGTCGTTCCTGTTAGAATGGGAATGAATTTGAAAGAAATTTGGGATATAGAGTTGTAAGTATTTATAGATCAATTGGATGTGGGAGGAATAAAAGATGACTCTAAGGTTTGAGTAGTGATACCTTTAGTCTAGGTTGGGAGGAGGAGAAGCCAGTTTTGTGGAGGAGAGAAGATAAGTTCACTTTTGGGCTTAAGTGTGTTTGAGACATGCTCTTGGAGATATCTAGTAGTCAGTTGGAAATGTGGGTCTCCTGCTCAGGGGCTGAGAGCTAATAATAAAGATTTGAGACTTTTTCAAAAAATATTTATGGAATGCCTGCTATGTGCCGGCTACCATAGGTGCTGGGGATACAGCAATGAACAAAGCAGACAAAATTCTTGCTGTCATGGAGCTTATACTTTACTGGGGGAAGGCACAATAAGTAAGTAAAATTTATAGTATGTCAAATAGTGTCTGTAGAGAAAAATAGGAAGAGGGGGATAGGGAGTACAGTGGGAAGAAGGGTATTGTAATTTTAAATAGGGTGACTAGGGAAGGCCTCATTGAGAAGGTGATGTTTAAGCAGAGACCTGAAGGAGTGAGCCTTGTGCAAAGTGTTTTAAGAGGACTTTATGGGTGATCATTAGGACTTGGGCTTTTTACCCTTATTGAGATAGGAAACCAATGAAGGATTTTTTTAATAGAAGAATGACATGTTCTGACTTAAATTTACA